CCCACTACACCACAAATGGCAGGACCCTCATATGAGTCTTCAAAGTCAATGGAATGACAGCGACTTTCCCACTATGCATTTTCTTTTATTATTTTTTTCTTTTTTATTTTTTTTAAAAGAGAGAGTGAGAGAGGAGAGAGAGACTTTTTAATATTTATTTTTCAGTTCTCGGCAGACACAACATCTTTGTTGGTATGTGGTGCTGAGGATCGAACCCAGGTCGCACACATTCCAGGCGAGCGCGCTACCGCTTGAGCCACATCCCCAGCCCCACACTGTGCATTTTCAAAACTCACACAATATGAAGCTTTCTGACAGTAAGAGGTATACAATAGATCCAAGCATGCAAAAAAAAAAAAAAAGAATGTAATTTTTTAAGCAGAACAAGTAACTGAATATGGATTCTGGAGCCAGACTATCTGGATTTGAATCCTAGCTCTGGAACTTTTAAGCTCTGTGATCTTAGGCCAATTACTTAACTTCTATGTACCTAAGACTTCTTAGCTGTAAACTGGGAATAACAGTACCTAATTTAAAGAATTGTTATAGAGATTAAATGAATCAGTATATATCAGTATATATAAAGTGCTTTAAATGGTACTGGGCACATTAAGTGCCATCTAAATGTTAGTTTTCAATTATTATATTTTAAAACTATCTACAAGAAAGACTGAAGATTTTTCACACTAAACAGCAGAATTTAGGGCTGGGATTGTGGCTCAGCAGTAGAGCGCTCACCTAGCACAGGCAGGACCTGGGTTCGATTCTCAGCACCACATAAAAATAAAGGCATTGTGTTGTGTCAATCTATAAAAAAAGATATTCTCTCTCTTAAAAAAAAAGTAGCAGAATTTACAAGTATAGAATGACAAGGTTGTAACAGGACTGCATATTATATATTTAATAAAACCACAGAACAAAGATTTAGAAATTATCTTCTACTCCAGTGGTTCTCAAAGGAAAGGGCCTTGGGCCAGTAACACCTGGGAATTTGTTGAAAATGCAAATTCTTGGGTTTCCTTTAGATCTACTGAAGCAGAAACTCTGGGGTGGGATCCAGCAATATGTAGTTCAATAAGCCCTCCAGGTGATCTTGATGATTGCTAAATCTGGAGAAGTAGACCTTCCCTCCCACTACCTATATCTCAACTCTAAGATCTGTTAATTCTAAATTATTCTCAAATCACTTGATTTCTCTTAGGCTTCAGCCACAACCATGGTTTAGGTCCTTCCCATCTCCTGTGGATGGCTACAACAACCTTACCCCCTGCTCTCCCTGCTTTATCTGGTTTACTCCTAAAGCAGTACCCCAAATCACCACTGAGGTGGTCTTTCTTACATGCAAACATGAATAACTCACTCCTTTGCCCATGAACTCTAGTCACAGCGAGCTACTTCAAACTCTTTCAAACTTACTTTCTGCCTCCCTTTTTATGTCTTCATTCCAAAGTCTTGGGATCACTGATAAATTACTTTTCATTTTTGCCAGTCTTCTGTTTTTCTTTTCAGCCATATGGTTTTAAAATTTGTATTTCTTTAATAAAAAAGCATGGCTGGCCCTTTCTACCATGTACATGTGGGGCAACAGTAATAACAAAAAATTACTTAGTACTTTCATGTGTTGGCAAGTCATGAGTGTCAAATAGGATAATAAATTGGAAAATGCTTTAGCCACATGCAGTGTAGTAGGTTTATTCCATTCAACCTCAAGAGTGAGATTATAGGAATTATTTTATTTGTGATATTTCTACTGTGGCTTATCTTTTAACTGGAATAGAAAGTGGTGGTTAGAAATCTGGAACTAGTCTCCTTGGTTCAAATTCCAGCTCTGCAACTACTAGCTACATTAACTGTAGCCAAGTTTGGGCACCTCTGCAAAATGGAGACAATAATAGAATCTATACCTTTCAGGGTTACTGCTGTGAGGATTAAATGAACTAATATAAGCAAACACTTAGGATCATGCTTAGAGCTTTAAAAATATTATTATATCCTGTTCCTACCATTTTCTGCAAAAAATTTTTTGCACATAAAACAAAGTATGATAAATTGAAGAGTATCATGTTCAGAATCAGTGAGACCAGTGTTCAATATCTGGCTCAGCTACTTCTTAGCTGTATAGTCAAAAGCACATTGTATCTTTTTTTAGCCTCAGTCCTTCCATTTTAAAAAACAGGGGATAATAACAGTACCTGCTACTTAGATCTATTGTGGAGACCTGACAAGAAACAAGAATACACACACAAAATGCTTAGAACAGGGCTTCAAACATAATATACATTCAAATAACAAAATGCTTTTTTTTACTATTAATAAAAATATGAGGCTGAGGGTATAGCTCAGTGATAGAGCACTTGCCTATCATATGTGAGGCCCTGGGTTCAGTCCTCAGCTCTGGGGAAAAAAGTGTCTTAATTTGTTTACTTAAATATTAACACACTATCAGAATGGGCATGGTGGCATGTGTCTGTAATCCCAATTACTTGGAGACTAAGGAAGATTGAGTTTGAGATCAGACTTGGCAATACAGTAAGACCCCATCATCTCAAAAAAAATAAATCCTTTATAACAATCCCATAAATTAGGTTTTAGGATATTCATTAGATGAAGAAAATGAGGTTCAGGAAGGCTTGAATAACTTTCTCAAAAAAATACTTTTGGGGTACTGGGGATTGAATTCATGGGTGCTCTACCGCTGGTATGGTTTACATATTAGGTGTCCAAAGGCTCAAGTTGAGACAATGCACGAAGGTCTGCAGGAGAAATTATTGGGTTATGAGTCTTAACCCAATCAGTGAATTAATCCCCTAACGGGATTAACTGAGTGGGAAACTGAAGGTGGGTAAGGTGTGGCTGGAGGTAGTGGGTCATTAAGGGCATACCTTTGGGGTATATATTTTTTATCTGGTGAGTGAAGTCTTTCTTTGTTTTGTGATCATCATGTGTCCCACCTCCCTCCACCAATCTTCTGCCATTATGTTCTGCCTCACCTTGAGCCCCCAAAGAATGGAGCCTGCTATCTATGAATTGAGACCTCTGAAACCGTGGGCCCCAAAATAAACTTTTTCTTCTCTACAATTATTCTGGTAAGACCTTTTAGTCACAGCAGCAAAAAAAGCTGCCTAAAACAACCACTGAGCTACATCCCCAGCCCTTTCTTATTCTGACACAGGATCTCACTAAGTTGCTCAGGCTGGTCTCAAACTTGGGGTCCTCCTGCCCCAGTCTTCCAAGAAATTGGGATTATAGGGGCTGGGGTGGTGGCTGAGTGGTAGAGCACTTACCTAGCATGAGTGAGGCACTGGCTTTGATTCTCTGCACTGCATATAAATAAATAAAATAAAGGTCCACTGACAACTAAAAAAAAATTAAAA